GATGTTACCGAAAAACGAGGTTGCATGGAGATCGATGAGGTGAAAGATGTCGCCATGATCTCGAGAGAGAGAGAAATGGCGGATTGTACAAGAATTGCAGTGGTAGAGGAGGTGAGTGTGATGCGTATGAGCAAAACTATCCACCGATACTTTACTAATACCGGAGGAATAAGAATAAGAAGCAGGCCATGTCACCTCAGGCCCAAGGGATCTACCTAGGATCCAGTATAAGGCAGCTTCTAGAAGATGAGTCACTGCAGGACACGTCACCAAGGGAGAATGTGTAAGCAGAGAAGGGAGAGTATTTTAGCAGAGAGTTTGTTGCATTTTGTTGTTATCTATCTTTTGGATCAAGTTGTTGAGAGAGGGGAGAGAGGAAACTCCTAATAACATTTCCTGTTAGTATAACTCTGGAATCTTAAGAATAAACCTTGATCGTATTTTCTTAAGGTTACAAAGGTTTTATACAACAAAAACCTATCAGTGGTATCAGAGCTCATTTCCGATCTCAGGGAAGATGGCTCCTAAAACGGATCAAAGTTTTGTGGCTATGACTAAGATGACGGAATTTCAGAACGAGGTGGCGGATTTGAAGATTACCTCGGCTACGACGTTAAGCATTCTGGAANGGTTGGAACGGCGACTCGATGAGGTGGCGGAGTATCAGCAACGGGAGAAGGCATCCTCTCCGATCGGGGAGCAGGAGGCGACGATCCACGAAACACCCCTTTTTGTGCAAAGATCGGGCAAGGAGATTGTGGGTGTAATGACCCTCGTATAAGCCTAAGCAGAGCCTCGTAAAAGACCTGTTGCGATGGCCGGATCAATTCAATGGTTTGGGAAAGAAAATAAAAAACCTAGTTAAGCAGCTTGATGAATAAGCTGGGCAGCTAGCCTGCTTGGCGACCGAGCTGCTTCGGCCGTGGGTAGGCCACGGGCAGGCTTGCGCCCGAGTTGTGCCTAAGCGTGACGAGCACACGCTTGCGTGTGTCGGACACACGCCTGGTCAGATACATGATCCCAGACGTGTGTCGCGACACGGGCAAGGCTCGGTGGAACGGTCTTGGCAGGTAGCCGCAAGGTGTCCAGCTGCTTCACCTGCTTACCCGTGCCTATAAATAGCCTGTCCCTTCATCACGAATCAATTAGCCGCAAACTTTTAACTTAGTCCGCGATAGTTTGTTACGATCATTCCGAATCGATCAGTCCATTCTCTAGGACCTTTTCGTGGAAACTTAGGGTAAGTTTTCCAAGTCCGAGTCCGATCATTTCCAATACGTTTTCACGTACTAATCTTGATTCTAACCTAAGTATCTTGATCAAATGATCGGAACCATCATGAACGCAGGTTCAGTTCCGTTAGGTTTCAAAGGAAGAAGAAATTTCCCGAGCCTTACTCTATCCAATCTTGTGTCCACCGTAATTGTTTTCAAGCTATTTCAGAAATATTTCGGGATCAGAACTGGCTAGACTTCGGAAGATCTAGAGATAGTCCACGGCAAGCTCAGTTCCAATTTAGGTAAGATCCGTGGGCTTTACCATCAAATTTCCCTTAAGAAAACTCTAAGTCTTGCCTTAGTTGATTCGTGAACCTTTGGAACAGATTCCAGTTCAAAGGCTAAGGCAAAATCGTTCGTAAAAGTCTAAGGCAAACGCCCGTAGAAACCTTTAGCAGAATCGCGATCATTCGTTCAGTCAAAAGTGAGTCTCAGAGATGTTTGTTGCGTGTTTATTTAATTTGGAAGTGAGGTTCGCTGCCATATAATTAGTATATTTGCTAAGTAATACTAGCATGTGGAAATTACTAAGTTGAATTGTTGATGCA